TTTTTTTGCAAATTATACCTTTACTTGCATGTGTAAAGATGGCGTTTCATGGTCCCTGGCACTGTCATTTTTAAACATGCACGTTCAATAAGGGAACAAAAACATTCAACGATGACAAGGTCATTCAGAATATTTAGGTAGTCAGGTGACCTTAGTGTTTGAACACATTGTTTCTGAACTAACTGCCCAGCTGGTTGCATATAGTAGAAGGGACGATGACAGGTGCATCAACTAATCAGCCTCTCTTCACCACCAGATGCAGCCATCACTCAGGATCAGGTAAATCTGGACTTAGACCACATGACCTTTTTCAATCAGTATGTTCCCTACCAATCTGAAGCCCTTTTTAGTGGTTTTCTTACAGCTCAGCAGCTGTTTAGTCTCCATCCCTTGAATACTTTGTGTATGGAAATGCTATTTAACTATTAAAACACAGCCGAGAGTTCCACTGTTGATTTTGACTTCAAACGCTTCAGTCATCTCCTGTCACCATCATTCAAGATTTTTTGGAGAAGATTGTTCACCACTATATCCGTCCAGGTTTTAAAAGAAATGCATCAGAGAGATCCTGTGCCACTTTCAATAATTTCAGTCATTTTCTCTGCTTAATTCAGGCCAATCTGAAGCTGAGTAACATCTGTTCCACAAACATAGATCTACATCTTCTGACATGGTGGTTTAAACAATGAGAAGCTCCAGTTTGCTCCACACGGCTAGTCAAAATCTATTAATCACAGCAATAATTACCCAATGGAAGGCTCTTACCTGCTCTTACTCATTTGGCTACTTAAAATCCAGGTTTAGTTTTGGTGGGTTTTGACCATGCAGCAGTTTGAGCGTTTCATTACCAGACATGTGGTCTTGGGCTGTTTAGACCGATGGGATATGGAAAAGAATACCCTCAGCAGCAGTAAGGATAGGAGAGACAGATATAAAGATCTTGTCTCTTGGTGCAGGCTACAGCCTCCCCCATGTTTGTGTTTATATAAAGACGACTGTCAAACTACCAAGACTTATTTTTCTACAACAAAGTCTGAACTACAAGCTAATTTCAAGTTGAACTTTTTACCAGGTTACATAAAAACTTACTGCAGACCTAACCTCCACAGAAGGTTATGGTCAAGATATGGGACATACAAAACCACCACCAACTGGAAAACAGTGCTGTTTCTCAGATGAACAGATGATCTCAGATGGACCTCAGTCTGAAGATTGTAAAACCAACTTAAGCTTTGTTTTTCCCTGATGACCAAAGAAATATAGTTTCTTATTTTTCTTTAAACTTTAAATCTAATTAATTCTTCTATAAGACTCAATATGGTGATCTAACCCTAACATAGAACTTTTATTTCTTGAAATTTTAAAAAACTTAATTCCAAAAAGGTTTGGATGTTATTTAAAATGCAAATAAGGAACATAATGCAACCATATTTCTTTTTTGTAACCCAGTGGGAGCAGGTTAGTAACATGATTGGTTATAAAAGAACGTCTTAGAGAAGCAGAGTTTTTCAGAAACTTTGGAACTTTTTTTAGAAGAATGTAAAATTTTGGAGAATTTGAACATCTC